GGACAATTGTTTAGGAAAACAGACACTCAGAAGTTAAAGCCTTTCATGCTGTGTTTGTCGTGGAAATGGCCCAATCCAGTCTTTCCCTAAGAAGTCATTTTATGCTCCCTGCTTTCTGCACAGATGCAGGAAGAAAGGAAGAGGCAGCCCTCTCCCTGTGCAGGATTTTACAGTATTTACAAACTTTCACTGCTCTCTCAAGGATACAGAGTATTTTGAACTTTCTGGAAACTGGCTAGGTTAGGATCAGTTGAGGAGAAACTTCCCCCTGAGCAGAACAAGAGCACTACTCCTTATAAGTATGTATCAGCAGGACTACAGCAACATTTCAGGGAGAAAAAGTAGTTGCAGTCTTTATTAGCAAGTCACCAAGTACACTGTCTCCTCTCCTGGTTTAATTTGCTCATCTGGTCCCTTGGATCATCAGTGTTTGAATAAGAAACTGAGAGTTATGTTGGGGAAGAAAGCTGCTATTTTCAGAGTCAAAAGAGCAGGTGCTGGATTGCTGAACACTTCACTTCTTGGCTACAGCCCTGACTTTCCGAAAGGTGAGGTTGATCCTCGGGGCCAGGACCCTCCTACGGATGGGCAGGCTGTGGTACCAGTACAGGTTGGTGGGGTACCTCATCACCAGCAGGCTGCCATGGGCCAGCTGCAGCTTGATGGGCTCGATGTGGCGCTTGGCATTCTTCCCTCTGGAATCACAGTGCCTGAAAACAAAGTCCCTGCAGGCTCCGAAGGACACAGATGCGATAGGACTGCGTGGAACCAGTTCCCTCTCGTCGTCTCGATGCTCCCCTATGTGGTCCTCACCGTCCTTGTACCTGTACACAGGACAGATCAGTTAGTTCTTCTACCCACACCATCAAATGAAGTCTAAACATCTCCTCAGTGACCTGCCAACAGTGTTGCACAAGCAGCCTGTCACCTTAGCAGGAAACCAGACCTACCGGTTGATGAGAACAAAATTAAAAGTGTGTCCCGTCTCCGAAGCGACGCGGTCCCTGATCCGGCTGAGAACTGGGATCCAGGGCTTGGGAGAGAAGGTGACACCCGAGTACGTGTATGTTAACTCAGGCTCTCCATAAGTCACCTGCTTCCTTGGAATGTCATGCCACTTGCCAAACACGTGCAGTTTTGCCCTTTCACCTGTTAGAAGAAGGAATGAGGAGGATCAAAGCCAACCCTGTGCTGCCTCCGCAGCTCACACTGTCAGCGTTCTCCTCGACTTGGAGCTCCTGTGAATCTCCAGCGGCACAACAGAAACGAGGCTACTCGTGGCAGCCCAAAAGCTGCCACCTGCCTGCAGGTGTTTTCGTCCCCACCGAGCACTCGGTGCTCCTTCGCTGTGGCCCCCGGGGGGGATTCAGGGGGGCACCCCCGCGTTCTGCCCCCGGGCCACCCGTGCCCGGGGAGATCTCACACACAACATTCCAACGCGCTAAGCCCCGCTGAGGCTGCAGGATCAGCCGTGCGCTGACACCTCACCCTGCCAGGTGAGCCCCAGCCAGGTGAGCCCCTTCCCGGGAACAGTCCCGGGGCAGGGCAGGAGCTGCAGGCCCGCTCCTCCTCCGGCCTTTACCTTCGAAGTACTTCACCTCCTCTTCCAGCTGCTGGAAAATCTCGTCAGCCTCGGCCCTCGCGGAGAGG